GAGTACGTAGTAAGCTAAGGGAGGTACGCGAGCGAGGGGTAGCTCCTTCCGGGTTTCCTCTTGTCTTTCATATTTGAGCTCTCTGCCTGCACCTCTTACTCCATCTACCTCCCTTTCCACCTTACTACTCATCACAACATCATCACCACCTCAAAAGCTTCAAACGAATCAAAACGACGACTCGTCATCATCACTAATAACTCTTCCACAAACCACCAAACACACACACGCATCACAATGTCTTTCCTCATCGAAGCCACCGGCCGCCGTCTGGCCACCATCCCCCGCGTCATCCCCAGAGCCGCCGTCGCTGCCCCCAGAACGTTCACCACCTCCTTTGCCGCGCAAAAGTCGGCAACAGAGACCGTCAAGGATGGTCTGAAGACTGTCGACCGCAAGGTCAGCGACAAGCTCGTCGATGGTATCAACGCCGGTGGTATGTTCTTCTCGCCCCTTTGACGCCACGCCCACACGATCACACGATACTAACATATCCTCTTCACAGCCAACGTCGCTGAAAAGGTCAAGCAAAACGTCCCCAACACCCAGGGCGAGGCCGCCGGCAAGGCACAGGAACTCAAGGGCGAGGCCGCCGGCAAGGCGCAGGAGCTCAAGGGTGAGGCCAAGGGCAAGGCCAACGAGCTTGCTGGCAAGGCCAAGGGTACCGCCGACCAGGTCAAGAAGAACCTGTAAACTTCCCACACTCAATGATTCTTCCAACAAAAAGTTCCGGGAAGGAAACATGTATGACGACAATTTCTGAGCATGCGTTATGAAAGGCCGCTGGACTGGAAATGTCCTACGCGCGACCTACTTGTACACTACCACTACTACCTCATAGCATGGAAAGGGGTTCGAGGGTGACTCCGTGGGGCGTTTTAGCAAGGTCAAATCAATATTGCGATTGATCACAACACATTCTGAACTGCTTCGCTGATCAACGTGACTTCGAATCGCCATCTCTCTCCAAACCGTGCCCACCAGCTAATCCACTAATAACAATAACTTACGACATGTTGCGTGTAATGAATTATTGAGCATCCTTGTATATTTCGAAGACTTAGGTCCAGCTGTCGCAACACTTCATTTAATACAAGAACCTGGTCGAAGCAATGTGTGTCATTGGCCAATGGCATCTCAGAAGTACAAAGATAGTCATGTGAAGCCGCATCCATTCACACTGAGAGGTAACAGCGGGACATGCCACTTTAGTGTATCGATGATGATGATGCTCTACTTGAGGCTTATCAGAGCTGGATGCGACTCGAACATATAGGACTAGCAGGTACACATGCGCAGGCTCTGAGCCTTACACAAAAAAGACGTTATGGATCACGCAAGACACAAGTCGGAAAGCAATATCAAGATCACGCAAACATCAAAAGCACAGCTTGGAAAAATGTACCGACAGAACCACCTCCCAACCCTGACACCCCCCGCCCTCTCCCATCGTCCTCTAGTCAAAGACCAGAGTCAAGGAATCAAGGCAGATAGCAGGATGACATGATATAAAAGGCCGGGAGAGCAAATGGTCAATCCGCAGACCGAACCACCCGCCCCCACCCATAAAAGTCCCTGTCCTTAAAAGTAGAAACCGTCGGCGTCGACACATCCCATCATGGAGTCTTTCTTCCACCGACAACACTTCATCTTGAGCGATCTTGTGCCTTGCGGATCCGAAATGTCCCAGAGGATGTGGAGGTCTGTTTAATGTACCGCTCGTAATACAGAGCTGGATCAAGGATGAATCTCTCCTTGCGCTCCACCTTGACGTGCGGATTTGCCATGGTCTTTGAAAAACCATGGCGAATGATTTGTTGAGAGAGAGAAGGAAAAAGAAGAACGTTCACAGATATAGCACAACGAAATTGATGTTGACTTTGGCTCGTGCCAGGAACTCGCAAGGTTTGGGTCGGTTGCCGGGACGGCCCATGGGGTATCGTACATTCTGGTCTCGTCTAGGTCAAGTCTCGTCAGCAGCAAACATTAGTGGAACGACCGGTCTTGATCCTCCTCGAAGAAGACCTTCTTCCTTCCGCTACCCCGATCGTGATCCAGATCCTCCAACGCCTGATCAATCTCCAAGATATCCAACATCTCCACCTCGACATCGCGTGTCGTAACGTCATCCTGTAAATCTGCGGCGGCGTTGAGCGTGTCGGCGAAACCGAAACCGGACTTGGGCCGTCCGATGGGAAGCGTGAAGTCGTGTGTCGGATCATCGACGTCGATGCTATCGCGGCCATTCGATTTCGTGCGCAGACTTCTAGTCTTGTTAACGCTGAGGTTGAACGACACATTTCGGGGCTGATCGGGTCGAGGGTGGACAATAATGGCGCTCGGTGGCTCTGGCTTGCCCTTGTCGCCAAAGAGACGTCGGCGGGTTGAGACAACCGTTCCGATCTTGGTGCCTGGGGTGTCCTCGGACTCGTGGACAATCACCAATCGGCTCTCGCCCATGATGAGGACCTCAATCTGCAGACCCCCATCGTTCTCCTTCAGTCTGGCAAAGTTGACAGCGGCACCCACACCACAGCAGCGCTCTCCGAGAAGTCCGGTAGACAGATCTTGCAAACGGATCATTCGTGTTGGAGTAGTACCGCTGAACAGGTTCACACCTCCACCAGAACTCCGACGCAGCTGGGCATCCCAGAAGCGTGAGACGGCGGGGATGACAGAGACATTATCCAGTCCGCCGATCCAAAGCACAACGCTCTCATCAGCGGAGCCAGAACCTGAGCCACTGCCGGGCAAGGGTGTCACAACAATACCGCCTCTGACAGACACAAGCCTTTCCAGTGAGCCCGCGGTACTGAGCGAAGCTGCTGCGTCACGCCGGCTGTGGGGTGTCAGAGGTACGAACTCGCCGTTGCCGTTGGACCTCGGTACGCTTGCTGTTGTCCTCAACGGCCCTGTGCCTTCAACGTGACCGGTAGCACTGAAGGCGGTGATTGCGCCACCCTTGATGCCAGAGCTGTTCTTTCCCATGATCGAGGCGCCTAGCGGGCTAGCACCATCCACATCCCATATACCCCAGGTGCCATCGGCGAGCAGTGCGAGGACAGCTCTGCCATGAGAAATCCATGCGGCGTCAAGGATGGGTTTGCGTGTCGACGTAGGGCGGGTGAATGGCTGGAACAGAGAGAGCAGCCAGGATCCTTGGCTAGGGAATGGTCCGGTGGCTTGGTCATCCGGAGGAAAAGAGGGTAGCGCGTAGTCGTAGATGCGAACAGCGTGCGAAGAGGCTACTGTAAGAATCTGTGTAAGATGCGTCGGGTTGAACGAGATGCTGGAGAGGGGGCTAGGAAGATATTCGGCTTGGAATGGGTTGATTCGGGCACTGGCTTCGCCGGGTTGGACGTCAAGAGGCACATCCCAGAGACGGAGAGTGCCAGATGCCTCGCGGGTATGTGCGGCGACAACGAGACGAGGCTTCGGGGCACTTGATGCGCCGGTCTGCTCTCGTATCCGATCGGAGCTAGAGGAAGCTTTGGGTCTGATTAATGACATGGCAATGCCTTCACTCCGTTTGTATTGGCCGCCAAGAAGGACGACTCTCTCTCCCCATTGACCAGAACCAGCCTTTCCAGCCAGGAGGTTGGACATGAGCTCAGGGCGTGCCTTACTCTCGGGACTCGGCGGTGTAAGAGGAAGGGTCACGACGTAGACATCGTTGGTTGCGCAGGCCACCGTGAACACCATCTTTTCCTTCAAAACATCGGCTCCTCCCCAGGCAGCATCTTCCGCAGAGCATGGCGTCATAGGCAGGACGGCAAGATGCAAAACAGATGTGCCAAGAGAGAGGTCGAGAGTCTGGATGATTTCAGGGTAAGGTCCCTCCTCCTCGGAATCTTCGAATTCGGGCTTGTCGGTAAAGGGCCCTGATGCCTTGCCTGCCTTGGCTGGTGCTTCGTCGTCGTCGGAGTCTATGATCATTACGGCATCGTCTGGAGCACCATTCTGCTTCTCAGTGGCAGGTTTTGCTTGTTGCTTCTTCGATGGCCTGAAGCGACGTCCACCTCTCCATATTATTGTAATGCCATTGTCGTGGCCATAAAGGAGGATCGTAGCTCCTTGGGAAGACTGGACAGGGTAGGTCTTGACATCGTTGATCCGTCTCGAGAGGTTGTAGCTAAAGCCTGTCAGCGCGCTGCTTTGAAAGTAGCTTCCAGAGCTGCCTCTCAAACATACGTGTATTGTGTGTTTTGTGACGTGCGCCGGACACGGGGCGTTGGCTGAGGGGCCATAGCTGCCCAGATGTGAAGTTGAATTTGAGCTTCGGCCTCGAGTAAGCGTCGCGAATGGCGGCGTGTAGATGGAGAGCCCTCGCTTGACTCGACAGCGATTGATGTGGATCGAAAGGAAGAGTATGTCGCCCGGCCGTTTAAAATCGCAGTGATGGATATGCGTGGACTTTTGCGCAAGCTGCACGTTGATTCCCCAAGTGCTGTAGCTGGGAAACAAAAACGCGATGGGCGTCGCGAAAAGCATCAAAATGGAGTGGCTGAAGCCTCCACCTGCTCTTTCTGCCGGGCAGAGAGTGTGGCTAGTGAGGGCGGTCAGCACGGGTAACCATAACGAAGGAATCAAGTCCATCTGGTGCCAGCTGCCACCGACCCCTCCAGAGCTCTCACCTCGTCACCAAGACTGTGTGCCTCCGTCCTGCCCGACTTTCGCTTGAATAAGCCGAAAGAGGAAAGAGAGATCAAGTTGAGCTTCCTTTTCACATTACTTCATCTCTTGAGATTTCATCTTCTTCACTTTGGGAGTTCTCCTCCTTGACCTACCAACTACATGCTGGTCTGAGACCACAATTCGTCCCCTCCTCTTGCTATTTTGTTCACGTCAGGCAAGCGTTTTGTGGTAGGGCGTCGACCTCAAAGGGGCATTCTAACACCTTGAAGCACATAGAGACCGTGCTCCATGCTCCTCTCTCTCTACCTTCATCATCGAGCATTTTTCACGTCATTTGGGTCTTCCCAGGCTCGCTTTCAGTCACAATGTTCACCCCAACTGTTGCCAACTCGACCTCCTACTTCTATGCGCTGGGCAATACACCGGCCATCAACTTAGCCAAAAACCTGCCTAATGGAGTCGATGCCAGTTTACTACTACTTGGTTGCGGCGATGTGAGGAACATCATTTACACAGCCTACAATGAGATTGGACTACGTAAGTGCTGCATAGGTCTTGGTGAAATCACATCCACCTTTCTAATTCGCCATCAGCTGGTCGCAATCTGGATATCACAGTCAATGACATCGATGAAGCTATTCTGGGTATGTTCAAAGTTTGCATCCGCCAATGAGTATTTGCTGACAATCTGAAGCACGCAACATCTTTCTCTTCTCTCTGCTCATCGACAATGACAATGTCTCCGGAAATACCCCCTGGAACTTGTACTACAACCTTCACATTGACAGCTCAGACCTACACATCTTATCGTCTCAAGTCAAGAAGCTTCTCAAAGCATCAGAGTCTCTGAAGTTGTGGAAATCAAGCTCATACGGCAAAGTCTTGCCCTTCTGTGATCAGGCCACCCTCGACGACGTTCGTGCCGTCTGGATCAGCTATGAGAATGCCGCTGCGTCCGACAATGTCATCGCCAATTCCGAAGCCCTGACTGCTAATCTCAAACACTCCATTGAGATGAAGAGAATTGCCTTCGGCAACGCTGTAGCTTTCACCGGTTTGCGATCAGCTGCTCCTGCTGCACTAAAAAACGCACAGGAAGTTACCGAAGCTTCTCAGCAGTTCTGGGAGTCCGCCGACGCTACACCCAACGGTGCCGTCAGCAACCCAAACCCCCTCTTCTATGCCTCGCTGTCGAAACACCATCTCTTGCACTACGGAACTGACCCCGTCCTCGGCTTCCATCTTGCTGCGGCCTTCATCCCCTTGACCGAACAGTCTCCTCTGAAGCCTGATCAACAGGATGAGAGGAACAGGGTTTTCTCGGCTGCAAAGACACAATTCCGAGAGTGGGCGACTGCCTGTGGGACTCTTCTTCGTGGGAAGAAGTTGGTGATCCGTTCCACCGCCAGTGAAGCACTTGCGTTCTGCCACACCCTGCAGCACTTAATCGTCACCAAGGAGACGTCTGCCGGATGGTACCGTCGCCAATTCGATGCCCGCGTCCTGTCCTTGGACCAAGATGTGTACGGCGCCAAGTCAACAGCTCCCATCGCATTCGACACCGTTGACACTACCAACCTCGCGGACCACTTTGGCACATTGAACATTCTCATGTCGGCTCTATTTTGCTCACACCCCACCCCTGGTCGGCTGTCTTCACCGAGACCCTTTTGAAGAGAGAAAGTACCGCCAAAGAGGCCTTTGATACCCTCTTGTACGGCCACGGCCCCACGATATCACTGTTAGTAGGCGCGAGCGCGGTCGAATACTGGACCAACTCCACTGCCGTTTCAAGCGTCGATGAGATCTTGATCGGCCTGAGCACCAAGAGCATCCAGGCGAAAGGCGACGAAGTGGCTCAAGTGCACAGTCGAATTACATGGAAACAGAGCAAGCTTTTCTCAGGAGTCAACGCCTCCGGGCCTCTCGCAATCGGATCTGAAGCGCTAGCCAGCATCTTCTTCAACCTCTACCTTAAGGTCTTCGCACACGAGAACCCCATGAAGCTGCTGTCCATCTCGAAGTCATCCGTCACGCAGCTTATCCGCAACACGGCCTACTCCCACTTCCACCGGGGCACCCTCGTCTCCCTTCTCCATTACCTCAAGCTGCGTCTATCTGTCGACAATTTTGAAAAGACTTGCGGATTTCTGCTCCAGAAAATATCCGCTGAAAGAAGCCTGATGTTCACGGGGAATCTTAGACAAGATTTGTCTGTGCAGATGCATACGCAGGGGGTCGACTCAGAAGACTGGCTTCGGGCAGAGATCAAGCCTAACCGTAACCTCGGCGGGTTCGACTCCTGGACATCAGTCCCAGAGGTCGTGGCCGTGACTCTCGTTGTCCCGCGGGAGAAGATTGCGCGGGTCTTTGACGGCTCTGACCAAGCCAAAATCAGTTCTCCCACCATCAGAGGTTCATTGGTCTCTGGTGAAGACGCCAACCACAAGTGGCACAACTTCTACGACGAGGTACAGCTTGTCTTTGGGACCGTCAAATCCAGTGGTAACCGTGACACCAGCGACTTCTCGGTCACCGTCGATGCAGACCCAGCAGGTTGGCTTGGGAAATCTCCGCTCATCGCAACCTTCTACGTCTCTGCTGCGGCGTTGCAGGTGGAACGCAAAACTTCCTATGTCCGCCTAGAGGTCCTGAGCTCTGCACAAAGTATCGCTGTCTTCAGCAAGACTCTCGGTAGCGAACTCAGAATCTTCCAGGCTAAGTTGGCTGACGAGGACAGCGTCTTCGTCACCAAGTACATGCCCGGTCAGACAAGGTATCCGGCTGCTTCTGAAGCTGCGGGACTTGTCGCGGAGACTGCTTTCGAAAAGAGCACGGACACAGAATCGACCTTCACCGCAAACGCATCACAAAGACAGGACAGAATCGAAACCATTACTGGACATCTCGATATCCTGTCTACCAAGGGCAAGAAATTCCTTAGTGACAAGCTACCCATTACCCTTGATCAAGTGTCTCCCTTCACCGTCAACGTCGTGTTTGGTGACAAGGAGCTTGTCTATCCTCTCACCTTCCCCGCTCTCATCGACGCCAGCAAGGCGAAAACTCGCATCGCTCGTACATCCGCCTACGTCGAGGTTATTGCCCCCTTTGCCGAACCTAGCAGCGATCCAGAAACGAACACAGTACTCACCGACTTTGTCTATCCGACTCAGCTTGCACGAGGTCTCTCAAACACCCCAGCCGATCTCAACACCCCGCACTTGAACCTCGACCGCCTCCCTGTCATCGACGTCGCCAAAAGGGATGAGCTTCCCTTCCTCAACACACTCCTCTCCTTCGAGTTCTCGGTCCGTGAGAGGGCACTGCGCGAGCGTATCAACGCTAGCAGGCTCGACCTCGCCCCCTCGCCTCGCGTCAACTTCAAGGAGTCAATCTTCACCATGACTATGCTCTCCACGGGTCAACAAGGTGGCCAAACTGGCCTCTTCTGTCTCAACCATCCGGACCGCGGCGGCATTCACATGCTCTTCTTCGTCTCCGCTCTCCGTCTCGATGCTGCCTCTGCCTCCGTCGTCCTCGATGCCGCAGTCCTACCATTCACGCTCCCCATTATCAAGAAGGTAGAGCCATTCCTTCTGCTTCTGAGAGAGCTCGAGATGGCCTCTGTCACCGTCAACGACGAGGAACTCATCCTCTGGAAGAAGGTCCTCCCTGCCCTGGCCGAGCGTGCCCGGACGTGGAACCATAATTCGTCGTGCGAGTACCGCAAGGCCGGCGCCACCATACCCTTATCGCTGGAACCCAGTGAGCCTGTCCTCTGCTCCTGCGGCCGCGGACAGTTCCCTGCGAACTTCATCGGGCTCCCAGAGTGGGACACCGCGTCCAAATACGCCACCCGCATTGCCATCAGCCCGACGTTCGCTGTACCATTTGTGGAGGAGATTGTGGACACGAATAAATATAAGGATTATCGCGCTAATGGTATGGCGCCGCCTAAGGAAAGGTGCACCAACTGCGGCAAGGAGCCAACGAACGGCGCCGCTCTGAAGAAGTGTATGCGCTGCTTGAATGTCAAGTATTGCAGTGCCGATTGCCAGAAGAAGGATTGGCGAAAGCATCGTGGCGAGTGCAAGGAAAGCGAGGCGTATCAAAAGTAAACTCGGCATAGTTGCGATTGAGCAAGACTCAGGGATTCTTTTGCCAAATTCTCGCTGGCGTTCAGTGAATTCTCTCCCCTTCCGGTGCTATATCCTACTGTGAACATTTACGTCGGCGACAGCTCAGGATGAAATTTACAATCTTCATGTATGAAGTTATCCCTGAGGGATCTTGGGCTTGAGGTAGGTCGAGTATGCTTCCGCGAGCATTGCTGACATTTCCAGTCACCATGTAATAACAAGGCGGCCTCACGTGCTTACTGGTGTCAATTTAAACAGAAACTTTCACAAAAGGGACGATCGTATGATGATTTTGCAACAAGGCTTCCGTGGATCAATCGCGGGAGGCTCATGCAGGCTATGTCGAGCAACCAATGGCGTCGCGTATTCTGACTTTCTACACTTCCAAATCTGGGCCGGGCATCTTTCAGCTTCTTTCCCCTCTTTTCCCAGCTGAGAAGCCGTCTTTTGAACAGGAGGACATCGTGCAAAACACATCTCGCAGACGACAACGTTACCCTCCGCGCTCGTCTCGAAAGCGTTTAGTTGAGAAAACTTCTGCTTTGTTCAGCCATGTGGCTTGTCAATACGAAGACCCTCGCCTCGAGAGCTTCGCGGAGCCCTCCGAAATCGACTATGCCATACTCTTGCACACTTGGGAGAGCGGTGAGGTCTCTTTTCAGGAGATGTCCTCCACCGCTGTGGCGTCAACGACGAAAAGCAAGGCAGGCTTTGACAAGGTCGCAAAGACCTGTGAGATTGCACAAGAGAAGGGCCTGGGATACGCGTGGATCGACACCTGTTGCATCGACAAGTCCAGCAGCGCCGAGCTCAGCGAAGCCATTAACTCCATGTTTCGATGGTACCAGGAGGCGAAGGTCTGCTTGGTATTTCTCTCGGATCTCCGCCCGGAAGTTGGCAGTACTGGGCCTGGGATCCATAAGATATCCGATCTGTCTAGGTGCAAGTGGTTCACTCGCGGCTGGACGCTGCAAGAGCTCATCGCGCCGGCCGCTGTGGAGTTTTACGATGCTGGGTGGAAGTTGAGGTTCTCCAAAGACGTATGGTCGGGGCGTCTATCGACGATAACCAACATCGATATCGATATCTTGACATTCGAAAAGGAACTATCGGCTGTTCCCGTTGCCGTCAAAACGTCATGGGCAGCGCATCGCCGAACGACCCGTGTCGAGGATCGGGCCTACTCCCTCCTCGGGCTCTTCGACATCCACATCCCCATGATCTACGGCGAGGGCAGAAAAGCCTTTCAGTGACTCCAGGAAGAGATTGCCAAGGAGACAGATGACTTGTCGCTGTTCGCCTGGGTAGCAGTTGATGAGAATCAGCGGTATAGAGGCATCTTTGCCCAAGAACTAGCGGAGTTCACATTCTGCGGCAATGACATGCGATGCAATCGACTCACATCAGACCGGAATGAATTCTCCATCACCAACAAAGGCGTCCGATTTACCTACGTCTTAGGCGTGAACACGGACGCAAGCGCCACTTGGCTGCTCCCTTTTTTGATGCAAGGGAATTGCCAAAAGTGCCACTATCAGCATAGCATTTACATCGGCCTAGTTTTCACCGCCGAGAGCTGGGTCCGCGCGACGCCTGGGCGCTGCCGGTATGAGAGCGATTTGCCGTCATTTCCCAGTTTGATCGACGTGTGCGTCAGGAAGACGGTCACGGCCTCAGAGAGCCGCAGACTCGAGCAGCGGCCGGGCCACTTCTTCAAGCTGGAATGGGCTCCAGGAGACTGCCTCAGCAGATGTGGCAAGCTTCTCGCGGCCGAGCCCAGCTTCTTCTGGAACCCCGTCTATCGGGGATTCGTGGGGGAGGCACAGGCTGAAGATTTTATGGGCACCATCAAGTTGTCCTTGAGCGCCCTGCCTTCGAATGTCATCATCTGTCTAGTTCTGTTCAAGGTCAAAGATCGACCGCCTGAGGTTCAGCTCTTCCTGGTCCCAGACTGGCCATGGGAGCTGAAGGAGGGCATAGTCTATCCTGAGGGTACCTCTTCGTCGGAAACAGAAATGCGGTTGTACAAGCGTTCCCTGCTACCTTATTCCCCTAGTAACTTGTCGTCTGCCCGGGCTACCTGCTGTCATGGCCAATTCTCTTTTGATGTAACAGTCACAGCAGAGGTGGACGAGAAGATGCGCCTTATACTATCTTGCAAATATCTCAAGGAGCCTCAAAGGGTACAGGAGCAAAAAGGGCTTCCATTCCTTCCCATGGCAGACCTGATACGATATATGTCAGACAAATGACGCTACCAAATATCGTTCCAGCCCTCGTCAACTTAAAGGACAAGCAACGACGTTTCATGCCCCCGTACTCCCATCACGACGTCATACCGAGCGTCCGGATACTACACCGCGAGACCCGGCATTTGGAAAAGGATCCGTACTCGGTACCAGAAAATCACACTGCCCGTCGGTACATGCATCAAGCAGCACAGGACCACCTCCAAAGCCTCCAAAGCCCAGCAACTATGTCATCTTTTCCTTCGGAACCAGACTGAATTCACTCGGACGAGGAGCCTAGATGACGGGAAGAGACTTCAACGATCCCCAGAAAAGAAACCCACGCGATGTCCACAACTTTGCAGATCTCCACAGTCTCCACGGCCAGCCCTGTTGTCATTACCAAAGAGCCCGCAACTCCCGATACTTCGAGAAGGTCAGACTTCAGCCCGATATCCAGCCCCCCAAAAAGGCCGACTATGCTCATTCGTCACTGTTGAAACAACGACAAGCCATCCCCAAGACCAATCAACAAGATCTAAGCAAGGGTGGGGGAAGACACTTTCAACTCAGACACTGAAAATGGCGCCAGGCCAAGAACTGGAAGAGGATGAATGGGCATCATCATCGTCAAGGACATCCCCTCCAGGCTTCGACGCATCGCCCATTTGTTTCTCATCCACCCAGTCCCCTCAAAACACACCGCACGCTGTCCGAAGACACCATGAACGCTAGAAGTCAAGAACCAACCAACACAACTGAGACGACTTGAGATCTAACATACTAGAGCTTAAGAAAGTTATTCTCTTTTTCGCTTCCCATATATCAACCTCGGGCGGCTAGTCTCAGTGATGTGACTGGTTTTAGTTACCAAGGATCAGCGTTCGTTGACCGCTTACTCGACCAAAAAGGTACTGTTCACCACCACACAAACGGACCGACCACACACACCAAGAAAGAACAGGACAGAGGAAAAAATCCCGAAAAATGATCGTCAGGGGCCTAAACTTGACACACACCAATCCCCAATTTTCTTTCCCCAGCGCACCCACACTAAAACCACAGGAAAAGGCTGAACGCTGAATAGCCAGTGGTGCAAGCACAAGCCAACGTCCAATCCCAATCTTTGTCTTTATTCCCTCCCCTCCCCCCAGTCTTCAATGCCCACGTGCTGGAGGCCTTTCGGTCAAGTATCCTGCCCCCCATCGGGCAGCCCGCAAACAAGGTATGGTCTTGTTGCCCAAGCTTAAAAAATGTTGGCAGAAGGCTGGGGATGGGGCAGGCTCGAAAGTTGGCAGTCGGTCACACTACCTTACTCCAGTCTGCAAGGGAGGCGATGAAGTAGTAAGTAGGTAGGGAGAAAGGCTGCAGTCCCGTTGTAGAATGTCAGGTGACCTTGTCACACACTCTCTCGTCAAGCCGGGTCACACATACTGGGCGTACTCGGAGCTCGGAGGCGGCGCTCGGAAGAACGCCCAGTGTACTAGACGCGGCAGTCGGATCTTGTCCTCCTGCAAGTTCACGGCCGTTCGTTCAAGTCAATGCGATTAGAAGGGACAAAATGATGAAATATGAGGTCATTGGATATTTTGCTCGATTACCACGCCACATTTCCATAACCCAAGTTAACTTTGAACACGCTGTATCAACCCAAAAAAAAGAATTCCCGCACCAGCCTCCTATCTCTTGCTTCCATCGGGTTGAGCCCAAGTTGGCCAAATCTCTCTCCTCTTCTCACACGGACACTCCAAGGGAGGGCCAAAGTTGGTTTATCCAAGATGATATTGAAGATCTCTGCCGTGTAATAATCCCTCCCAAGGCGTAGGCCCCTTCGCGTTCATAATATGAAGGTGCCATGGTTACTATACACAAGATGGGAAGGGGGGTTACGCCACTATACTCCGTTATGACTCTTTCCATAGATGTCGTTCAACAAGGTTTTTATTTCCAACTGCCGCCGTGTTTTTGTGATGAACATGATCTCGGCCTGTCAACCCCTTCCCATCGGTAGAATCGAAAGTACCCAGTGTAGGTGGTAAGTGGTTGGCGGACCGGGTGACGTGTTTTTAAAAAAAAGGTATTGGTGCTGTGGTAGTGGCGGGTCGTAATTTGAGGGTAGGTAAGGGGGTAGGAGGGGAAATGTCTCGAGACGAAAGCCCCCCGTTTGGTTGGTAGGTTGGTTGTGATATCCAAAAGTTGTCTAAATTGTAGATAGTTGCAAAAGGAGTGGACGGCGTAGGGAGGGAGGTCGTGGCCGAAAGGGCGGATTTTTTGTGTATGGTTGTGTCCAAAAACAAGAGAGATTTGATAGATGTATCCAACGCAAAAACCCATATCGTAATTTCCCAAGATATGTTTACCCTACACCATGATACAAATGAAAAATCCGACGACACTGGTCGTTTTTTTTCGGAAGACGCCCCCGAGTAAGCCAGCGTCGGGAGATTGAACACCACAAAACGCCTTTGATGCCAGAATTGTGTAGAAAGAAGTAATTCAAAGAAGCCCCAGGACAGGCTTTCAGGTCGTTTGTCGTCATGATGTGAGGTGCTCATGCGTTGGTAACCTTGATGAGGGGAATTAGCTTTTTCAGGGTTCATCTCATTTTAAAACATCTCATCTCTCATAAACTTACTCGGAGAATCTTCCGCGAGTAATCTTGGTTGTCGGCAATGCTGCCATCGCTCATGCGTCGGTGCGCCAGGGTGGGATCCATGCGGGAGTCGGACATGGAGACGCCGCTGCTGCTGGGCGGCTTGGAGCCGCCGATGAAGGCGTTGACGGCGGCGTTGCGGCGGTGCTCCTCCTCGATCTCGGCGTTGCGCTTCCTGCGGACGAAGAAGAAGGCGGCGCCGACGATGGCGGCGATGGCCACGACACCGACGACGACGCCCGCGGCGATGCCGGCGACGTTGGTGCTCTTCTTGGGCGTCTCGGTTGCCGCGGCCGATGTTGTCGCGACGGGGGTCTCGATGACGGTTGAGACGACGCCGTTGGCGGCGGTTGTTGTCGTGGCCTTGGTGGTGGCTGCGGCCGTTGTGGTGGTTGCAACGTCTTCATCGGGAACGACGAGCTTGAGACCCGTGTTGAAGACGGAGTAGTACATCATGTCTTCGACACCACCGCCTTTCACGAAGGTTAGCCATTACTTCAAAAGTTGAACCATGAGACGTAGGGTAACATACAAGCCTCTTCCGGGTAGAATGGGCAAGGGAAGTTGCACTTCTTGTCGTCGACGACGTCGATCTTTGGCGGGTACGAGTCACCGCAGTAGCAGTCCTCGCCGTTAATAGCGGCGACATTCTTCTTCTGCTTAGTTTGGCATTCCAACGTGCATGATCCGGTACTGATATTCTCTACGGGGTACTTCTGCCATGTCGTTGATGACGCGTTGTAGCATCCGTGGTTGGTGATGGCGCCTGGCCTCGCGGCCTCACTGGGCTTCTGATATCCTGACGTAGTAGTGGCAGTCTGGGCTGAGCTAAAGCCAAAGGCCACGGCGGCCAGAACAGCTAATGAGTACTTCATAATGGTTGTCGAGGGGGGTATAACGAAAGCGTTGAAACGAAAAGTAGGTTGAATGAAGGTGCGGTCTCGAATCGATTCCAGGACTCGAAGACGATGACAGGTCTTGCGGGTTCGAGGGTTGTCGACGTGTCTCAGGGGTTATTGCCTCGGTGCGGTTCAGTCGGCCACCGAATGCTTTCCCAGATATCGAAATCCAAGCAGCGTCCTCTCGATTTTCCACCCAGTTCGATTAATAAGTTGTATCCGTCGAGAGAATCGTAATTCGATCGATCGGAGGAGGGTTAGATGATGATGATGTTGAGGGTTGAGCGAGTGTATCGGTCGAAGCAGGACCGTGTTCGGGTCGTGCGGCAAACAAGGCGAGTCCTAAAGAATGTGTGGGCACAAACAGGCCTCCTAATGGTTTCTTCGCGAGTTGGTTTGGGCTTTTACGAAGCCTCTTGTTCTTTCTCCTTCACGTTGTTCTCTTTTGCTGGCAAAAAAAAGAGGATATCACCGAGTAAATGACATTGAAAGGAGAGGGTAAATGAACAAGGGAAAAAGAGGAGGAGACCTTGGCGAGATTGGGAAGATGAGTAACAAGGCAAGGCAAGGCAATGGAAGAGGGAGAGACTTGGGGGGGAGGGGAGGAAATGGAACGAGTGACAGCGGGTGGAATTGGAGGGAACGGCTTGTTTTGTTGAAAAGAGGGAAACGAGCACGGAGTGGGTTGAGATGAGGAGGAAAAGCGAAATTAGGAGTCCACTTTGCGGCATCCCGGGGGGTTCGGGAGGGTGTAGACCCAGAATACCACAAGTACCAACTCCTCTTTTCTCTCTCTGGTGTCTGCCTCCGTCCTCTCAGGCTCTGTCTCCCGTGCCCACAGAGCCTTGAGGAGGGTGGTAGTGCAGGCATGTGCAGTGTGTAGTGTACATACGAGTACTGAATAGTGAAAACTAGGGCAGGTCTAGGCAAAGGTAGGGATGGCTTCCCGTTCTGCCATCTGGTGTGTGCACAACTTTTCCAGCTCGAAAGGGCACACACGCGTAACTTTCGACAGTGGGACACCCTCCTCGACTCTAGGACATGCCCTGCAGCAGTGTTCGGTAACAGCCAAGGGGTCCCCTGGCCACACGTCCGTGGCTTTCACAGCGGCACAGAGGCAGCGAGAGAGCAGAGACGGGGGTGAAGTTGTGAACAGACTGGGATGGAAGAAAGGGAAAACGGGGGGAAGAGAATCCACGGCTCCAGGCAGTTTTGGGAATAGTCGAGCGAGAACTTGACGCGGCCGTTATCCAATGGCTTCATGCCGCGCCTGGCTTTGGCTCCATCCGAACAGATTCAATTGGGTACAGGTCTTTCGTGCTGCTGTCCAACGTTGGCGTCGATTGGATACATCCGCAGTAGTGCGACAGGGGTGAGCCATGTTTGGGTCTTCCCGGGCAAGAATTCAGGAACAAGAATTACCGTCAGGGGCGCAGTTGACTGTGCAGATCATGGGCTGTATCGGGGGTTGGCGGTACTGAGTACGGTTTGAAGAGACTGAAGTCTGTTAGATGAAGTGGTGGGAGGCCCCAGCTTGTCATAACATGAACTCAACTTGGCGGACTGTTCATGGTACACGCTATCGCGAGCCGTCGAGTGATCAGATCCACTTTCCAATTTAATCCTCCACATATGCGACACACCACCACGAGCTCTTGGTGTGCGATGCCGCCTGCGAGAATATCGCGCGGGCCTTCATAAATCTGGTGTTGTGCACGGGGTGTATGGAAAAGGGGGAGGCGGTGAATAACTTGACACACTCGCTACATCATTGATGATACCACGGCGAGTTATGAACAGCGGCATTGAGTTGTGAAGACATATCTGTGTTGTGGAAAGTCTGAGCGCTGTTCGTTGTTCGAGGATGCGATCTTCTCATGGGCATCGCATCCCGATCGGCCGCTTCCAACCGTGGAATCTTCTCTGCTCGTGTACGATCTGCCGAATGTGCCGTTCGCTTCGCTTTGAAGTCAGAATAGGAGGTGGTTCGTGGTTGCGAAAGCGAAGACGCGAAGGAACTCCTCTGCTGACGGTTATCTGCCGTACAACCACACAACACGGCAGCTCCCTCCCATACTAGATGAAGAACAGCTTCTTTCTCTCTTCCGGCGTGTGTTCTTTCATCGCCTGCTGCCGCCAGGGCCGTGTGTTTGACGCTGATTGTCAGGGTGTCACGCGCATGGGCGTGCATACGGTCATCCCAGACAGAACCACTCAAGAATGCTTTTGGATGAGACTGGGATTAAAAAGAGTGTGTGTGTGTGCCATACAGAGCACCATACCATACAGAACAGTAATACCACAGTGAGCGTACAGAAACTCAGGTACCCGTCCGTACATGATTTGTGCGGCGGGACGCCTGAGCACCGGCGTCCGTTGCATTTTTTTTTTTGCCGCTGGTGCCACGGATTACCTGACAGGATGAACCTTCGCTCGGTCGTGCCTATTTCCCCCTCCCTCAGAGTCCCTCTTTCTTTTCTTCTTCGTCTCGTCTTCTTTGTTGCAGGCGCAGCTTGCGGGCCAGCTGGACGTATGTACCCGTCCGCGTGAGAGGGGAGGATTCGGCCCTGCTTTTTTGATTTCTGTTAATTCCTTCCCGCTTGACTGTTCGGACGGACGTTTTGGCTTGGATCTCTGAGATGCAGTATTGGCCAGCACATGCCCAGCAGTTGACTGCTGACAATGACGATGACGGGTCTGCCGACGACTTCATAGCGTAACAGAGCGATATTGGTATTGTAATAGCTGGCCGCTGCTATGTCCCTGATGATCATCAGCGGGCAGCAAATCTTCATGCCGTCGTCGCCCCAAACGACGGCACAGGGGGGGAAACGAAACTCGTCGGAGGAGAGGGGGCAGCAGTCCAAAAGTCGCAGGCTGAAACTTGAAACGAGAAACCAACGGTGGCTGACCGTCCCAGACGAGGCCTACCGCCTATTAGTTACAACTTATGGTATTAGCTAATATTCCGGTTGGTTGTACCGTTTGGGTTGGGGTGCTGCCGTCAGCTATCGTATCCGTACGAAGGATCCTATCACCCTATCTTGTCCGACACCAAGGCTTGAACACCTGGGGACGGGAGCCACTGAAATGGAGAACCCGGGCGGGTAATGCAATGGGTACGGCAGATTGGATGTTGCCAGAATTAGGAGTATTATCTGGGGGAAGAGGAAACGTGCAGCTTCGTGCGTGAGAAATCGGCCGGTCTGGCCGGCTATCTGGTGATGGTCGAATGAGAGATTAGTCGAGATGCCGCGAACCGTTGGATTTCAGTCTCGCCCCGTCCAAAGTAGTGTGCATACCTAAGTACGGATACTTACACAATTAGTCCGTACACAACGGTCATTCACTATTCGACGGGCCAACGTTGTGCATCGATGCATTATTCCAGCGCCTTTAGCGAACGGCTCATGCAATTGCCAGCGAGGCCTCGAGGCCTGCTGCTTCGCTCGCCGTGCACGGCAGAAGGACAGCGGCGAGATTGGTTTGGATAACACCACCCCTTTCTCCCTCTTCTACCCCAGAAGTGTGGATGGGATACGAGGACGGGCGGCCGAGCCAAGAGGCTTGGGAGAAGGCTTACAGAGAGGCTTGCAGCATGCCGGTTCGTCTTCTGGACTGTCTTGTGTCTGTCAACTTTCACAAGCAGGACTTCACAGTGACAGTGTGCAGGTGGCTTGCATCAGACGCAAGATTGAGGATGAAGGTCCCGGTCATGTCTTTCCGCCAAAGCCAGCACATACCCTCGTGAAAGGAGCTTTCCTGTCCGCCTCTTGCTCCGTGCAGTACGAAAAGGAACAGTTTGATGATGGCTATTTGGACATCAGAAGACCAGTCACCACTCTCCACGAGGGCAGCGTGGATGGAATGGGGAAAACGTAGACAGCAAATGAGGACTCATCATCCAACGCACCAGGGAAACGTGTTCGACCCTCTGCCTCCCATGTTCCCAGGGGGCCATCACCTCGAAGAGCCAGAAGCACCGCCTGAGCACCACTGCATCAACTGGAGAATTCTATCTCTTCAGTGGCTTTGGGCGGCTGTTGGACAGCGGTTGTGATCAATTGAACGCGCATATCCTTGGCCGCTGCGGAACAGAGGGGGTGGGTTTCTCGAGGAAGAAACGCTTAATCGAGAAGCTTGTCCTTAGTCGTCCGCAGACTCGGGCATCCGATGCAGGTACCTGCTTGGGGTGACCCGGGATGCGTTACTTTTTCCTTGCTTGATATTGATGTTGCTTCTTAGCACAGCCTCAACAATCAATTAAGAAGGAAAACCCACGTCATGTTACTGTGGGCTGCTCGCTGGCTTCCTGCAGGCGAGATGTCTGATCATTCATTGATATCGATGGAACAATTTTTATGTACGTGTATTTCGAAATAAGCATGGAAGTCCCTCCAATACTCAGTACACACAAATGCTGCGTGACATGGGCGGCCTAACTAGGTTAAGCTAGGATCTATTTCTATATGCAGAAATCCAAACCAACGGACGCTATTGAAGCCCAGGCAGGCGCCGAGATGCTAGCGAAGAAAGAGGAGATGATGTTGAATGCCTGAACATGCGCTCTTTTTTTCGAACCCGCGACTTTGGATAGAATCGGCATTCTCGGTTTTCGCGATGTGCAGCTGGGATTGATATGGCGTCACTTGATGCGGGATTTCATCGAGACTGCATTCTTCCAGAACATGAGGCGTTCTACATGTCGGTCTCGCGTCCAATAGCTACTTCGCTCTGATGGACGATGTTGCTGTTCTGTGAACTATTTCTGGCAGAGCGGTTCAGGGAGGGAAAAGGGTGGCCCTTTCCAGCCTGCAACTCCTCTTTTCAGGTAAAGAGGCCGAGGGGTTCTAATCCTCGGAGCATGTGTCAGCAGATGGTTCCTCTTCTCAAATTCTCCCTCACCAAGGCTCAGCGAGTTGCGTCTTCAGTGTCCGACTGTCGTAAGTTGATTGGGGGCCGTTTCCAAGTGACAAAAAGCTCCCTTTAACCATAGCACATGTAAGCAGACCCCCTGAAGAAGCAACGATTCTCCCTGTGCCGTGAATTCGCCCTACATGCCCGTCTCTTCAAACTTCACAGACCGCAATCTCCTCCAGCTCAAACCTTCAGACGCAGATTAGCAACCCCTCGGCAGGATAATCCGATGCGACGGGCAGCAGGCGCTGGATTCCGTAGAGTTCACACTCTCAAGTTGCAAAACCATCACATCTCATCCACCCGAGCGGCATCCTTCAGGAAACCAATACCGCCGCCAACCTCCGGCACTGCCGCAAAGAACCTTCGCAGCGTTCCAACGGGTCCCATCTCTCTTGATTAATACGAAGAAAAACCACTCTCATCATTGATGACCTGTCTCTCATGCCGAGAACCCCCTTTTGGTGATGAGAGCCCGACGTGCCAATTCTCAAGCCAAATCCAGGGTCCCAGACCCCAGAGATAATACATCTCTAAACTCCGTTGATCGGCTCCCCGAGCTTCCTATCTCGAGTCGGTTCCCGGCTCCCGGTTTACGTTACTCCTTGCTTTGTGGGTTCCCGAACCAGGACTTGCTAAAAGCACCGCCGCCCGAGGGCTCCATGAGTCCATTCTTGACTGTGACGCCAACGGACTAGCCATCAACCACTCGATCTCTCTCGCTGCGCGGCTGCGCTGTTTATTGCAAGATGCCGACAACTCCCCCCCCCCCCCCTTTCTCCCAAGACGCGTTGGTGCAGGGGCAATCCCCCTC